TCTTTGGCTATGTATATTTTCACCAAAAAAAAAGGTTGAGAAGTTAGAGGGTTGATATGTTGTGGGGTTGTTAACCAATGTCATAAAACAACATATGTACTACTGTTTCATGAGAAAGTTATTTGTTCTGTAAGCCTTCACCTGAAGTACAATAAAAAAAAAAAACTCTAAAATTTAGTTCTTCAATTGCACTAGCCACTAGTACCCAATAGGCACAAATGGCTAATAGCTGTGGTACCTGACTGCACAGATATAGAATATTTCTATCATTGCACAAAGTTCCACTGGGTAGTACTGGGCTAGGCTCAGTGTCTTGACAAGAGTTTCTAAATTGTTTGATTTTCCTTAGAGCTTTTGGTTAATTAATTCATTCACTTACTTATTTTAGAAAACTAAGGGAAAACCTTGGCAAGATGAAAGTCTACTTTTAGTTTTTCAGTCGTATCCATCCATTTAAATATTTTTTCCCATTAAACTGAAAATGTATGTTGTTTCAAAGGAAAATAGAATGTACGTCTTTAAAACAAGTAGCAATTTAACATGTTTTACTCTGTACAATGTTTCAAAATTTGTAGAACTGTACAAAATGTATACAAATATATAAAACTATTATAGCTTGATAGTATTTAGTATGACTAGTAAAGTTCTAAAATATTTGCATGTTTAATTTCTAAACATAAATTCAGATATACTGTGGTTAAAAATTAGAAGTATGTTTTTAAATTCACTAAAATCAAGCAGAGATACAGGAAGAAAACACTAAAATGAATGGTTGTAATAGTGTAGCAATGATATCAATCAAAATATTGATATAAATTCTTTTCTTAAACACACTACTTACATCATTTGATTCAAATGAAAAATTCTCTTGTATTAAAGAAATACATGAATAAAGATATTTAAACTACTCTTTAAAATAAAATGGTCCAATTAAAAACTATTTAACTCTAAGACAATACATTAAATGCAATTCACATCAGAATTAACAGCAAACACTGAATTTCCAAATATGTAGCAAGAGTAGAATCTGAATTATTCTTAAGGAAATCATAAAAAACCCATCACTGATTAAAGTGATATGGTGGGTCAATAGGTGCCATTTTAAAAAGAATTAAAAAAACTGAAGATATCTTACAAAAAATTCTATAAGTTATCACCTAGTTCTTTATATGACAATGTAATCATTTAACACATCTATTTCTTAATTCTACATTAATTCTGATAACTATTCATTGAATTTGTTTTCAAATTTAGAACATATGACATACATCTTAAATGCTGTAATAAAAATTTTATTTCTTTAGTGGTACTGTAGAGAAAAACTTCTCCAGCAATACTGTACCTTTTCTCTTTTTATCAATTGTATTTTTAATTTATGAATCTTTAGGATTGTTAAATCAGGAAAGTTTGATTTCAAAATCAAAATAGTCACAAATGAGAATAAGTTAAGAGAGTGGAAAGTAACTCTGGAAAAGGAAAAAACCTAGAAACATGATGACAGGATGATAAGAATATCCTAATCTAAGAACCAAAGAAAGCTTTACACAATAAAAGAAGCCAGAAATAGAAAGGAAAACTTTAAAAACATCTCTCTACTCAAAAAACCAAATAAAAACATGTATCAGTTCAGGATGTTTACTAAATTAATCACCGGATAATAATTTCCTATTGTCTTGGAGTTACAACTTACCTCCTCTACCCCACAATAGATAAATACATCAAACATAGCTTTAAGATTACAAACTCCAAAATGCCCTTATGTCTATATACTGAGATTCACAGTTTCTGGATTTATTTTTCCACCACTTAAACTGTGGATCATTGCTATCATGTGAGAATGTTTGTTCAATTCCTCTTGTTGAAGCTTCACCAGAGACTCTTTCTCTTCCAAACGACTTGCTAATTGGGCCTTTTGAACTTCTAGGGAGGAAGCCTAAGGGATTAAGAAAATGAGAGGAACAAACAATTAACATGCTCTCTCTTCACAGAGATTTTAAGATGTCTTTATTTTTTGTTTGTAAGATAATCATGTCAAAAGACACAATATAAGTATGGATTATATTTTAGTCAACAATCATATGAGAAGTTTAAGTAATCATTAATACAAATTGGGAAGACACTTTCAACTTGCCTTCTTAAGTCAATGCTACCAGCTGAAATGATGCTGAAAATACTATATACTTCTACTGAGAATTACTATGAAAATAACCACATTAAAGCAGAACCAGGAAATCTGTGAATGTGGCATTAAATGTTATGTCTTTTGTTTCACTCATGCTTTGTAGTAGTTCAGACAGCCGTTTAATCCTGGTCTGTTCTCATCTTCCTGGTAGTAAATGGGTCAGAAAGTACTATTCACAGCTACTACTCAAGGTACACAACTATGATAATGGAGAAAGAGCCCTGGACTTGGATTCAGGATATTTAATCTATTTTGTCATTTATTGACTGTGTGACCTTGAGCAAGTAACTTAACCTGAGAATCAGTTTCTTCATTTCTAAGTTGAAAATATTTATATATTAATATTTGTTACAGTGAGGAAGATGTTTAAGACTCCTTTGCAAATTATGAAGTTCTAAACAAATCTGAGCTATTATTACTATCATCCCTACAAGCAAAGAAATGCAGGCTATGTACTTTATACAGCTACCTGTATGTGACACCAAGAACTGGGAGCCCTTTCTGTATTCTTTGCCCACCTGAAAGCAGCTAAGTGCTGGCACACAGTATGTATTTAATATATGCTGGATGATTTTAGGAAATACAGGTTTTCACATTGTGACAGAGCTTCCATAACAAATGACAGTCAAACCACTTTGAGATTCTAATATCTTCCAAACAAAATTACGAAAGAAACAGAACATTTGTTTATCCAAATTCACTCTTTTCACAGTGTAAGACTTCTTCACTTTACTGCAAAGGAGAACTTGAATAGAATCTTACCTTAATGCTCAACTCTTTTCTTATCTGTTCTGTTCTGCTCAATTCTTTTCTAAGGAGGTCAATGGTTTCTTCCTTATCTTTCCTTTCTTTTTGTAAAGTTTCAATCGTTTCTTCTTGTGCTACTGCTTTTTGTTGCAAGTCTTAAAAAGCAAACCAACAGAGGTCTTTTACTGATATTACTCTGAAAAGGTTTAGTAGCTATTATACGAAAAAAAGAAAGACGACTAGGAAGATCACAAAATATCTTGCTGAAAATATAAACTTTACAGTATGTACTGAATAGAAAACACCACAAAACCTACCTCCTATACTAGTATTAAACAGAAAATGCAAAATCCCCACGTCTTTTCCCTTTTCCTCTGCTCTACATATAACATACAGTAGAGTAGAGAAGGACAATTCCCAGAGGTTAAGGGTTAGCAAAGAAAGGGAGAGAGAAAACAATGAAAAATTACATAGGTAGGTGTCTATGCTCCAAGGCAAGTTAGTAAGAAGAAAACACGCTTTGGTGGATTAGTTTACACCTACTACCATTAAGAAGCTAGTGACTAAAAGTTACCTAGCACTGCCACCTGCTGCTATGTTTCTTAAAAAAATTTATTTTATAAAGGGCAATCATCTCCTATAACCCCCAAATTTTAATGTGACCACCCCAATTAAACAGCTTTGGTGAAATGTGGCAAAACAAGGGAAGCTGTTTAGGATATGGTTTATGGATTTAAAAAATGAGAGAACTGGAAAATAATGAAAAAGCAAATCAAAATCATTCATGCTTCTTTTTCAACATAAGATTTGCTAAGAAACAGATAATTTAACAAATAAGGAGCTACTTACTTGCTAGTTTACATTCTCTGTCTACTAGCAGGCTGTGTACTTCTTTTCTTTGCTCTTCCTTCTCTTTTAATTGGGCAATAGTTCTGAGGTTATAAAAAAAATGTAGGGGAAAAAAAAATCAATGAACCATTCCTCCCCAACAAGTAGTTTAAGGGAAAGTTTTATAGGAACAGTAATTACTCTTAAATTCTGCCAAATGTATTTTTCTAATAAACAATGTTCTGTATAGAAAGAGAATCACTGTTTTTGAAAAATCCAAAATAATTAGAATAAAGAACTAGAGATTTTTACTTTTCATTTTGTTGCTTGAGTGATTCATTCAACTTTTTCACTGTCTCTATTTGTTTATTCAGAGATTCACATGTGATCTGTAAATCTTTATTTTTCTTTTCTGCAGTTTCATTCCTGAAAAGACAAACACACACATTAGTATCTTGAGGGAGAAAAACACATGATGAAGAGAAACTCTATCAAGCACAGTGTTTACTATTTCTTCTAACTAAATTGTATACACTGCAGGACATAAATAAAATTAGATTAACTCTAAAAGACAGTAAAGATATGATTTTTGCTGAATGATGTAAAAATTACCGTGAAATGGGAATGTGTGGAGTATTAACCTCACTTTTACAGATATAGAGCTTTATTTTACAGATGATACTACAATATATAATTTGCTATAAAATAAGATATCGTTATATAAGATATCGTTAGCGTTAAGTCCAGAAATTAAAACAATATTTGTAAAAGAATAAGGCTTTAAAAAAAAATTAAGGATGTTATAATTAGCCTCTTGGGCATAATATGCATTTATATTAAAAATGTCAAATAAATGAATAAATATTTCTAGTAATTAAGAAGCGTAGGGTTCTAAATTTCTTTTGTCCCTTTAAAGCTCTACATCTTTACCTGCAAGATAACACAGAAGAAACTCTAAGGTAATACTTTGAAACTCAACTATCTTAAGCATAAAATATCCCTTATATTTCACTAAGTACAAAGATAAAAAACTGGTGGCACTGTCCAAATTTGGCCAGCAGAAGTGTTTATTTGTCCCACATACAGTTTCCAAAAATCTGAATGCCTTTAGATAGTCTCTACCATTACAAACGGCCTTTCCCCAACCAGGTTCATTCACTTGTTACCCACCTGGCTCTTCAAAGCTTGAATTTACTTTATAAGTAGGTTCTACTGTTGTTAGTTGCCACTGAGTTGATTCCAACTCATGGCAAACCATGTGTGTCAGAGGGTTGCTGCACAGGGTTTTCAAGGCTATGCGCTTTCCGAAGCAGATCACCAGCCTGTCTTCTGAGGCACCCGAGTGGGTTAGAACCACCAACATTTTGGCTAGTAGTTGAGCACTTAACCGTTTGTGCCACCCAGGGATTCCTAAATAGGTTCTAGAAATCACATTTATCTTAGACCACTGCCTATACCAACAGTGCGTTTTATCTGTGATGCCTCAAACAACTAGACTTTGGAAAAAATTGTTGTTAGGAAAAAAAAAAGAAGGAAAAATGTCCTGTTTAGAAATCACCTTTCATCACAAGTTTTCTAGATGCTATTCATTTCTCACCCTTCATTTTGAATTGATGGGCAACTAAGCCCATGGGCCTTGCAAAGCTAAATACATTCTACCTCCCTATATTAATAGCATGTAACAGCGGGACATTTTTTACAAATCTTAACCAATCTTAAAACAATGAACACGTTTCTCAGAGTGTTTTTATTTTATAAGCCAGTGCATTCAACAAATATTTACGGAGGTCCTAAGTGTCTATCAAGCCCTGTTTTAGACCCTAGGGATTTGTCAGCGAATAGAACAAAGCAAACTGTCCTGTAGAACTTATGTCCCAAATGACTATATGAATAAATAAAAGCAGTCAACTGGAAGGAAAGAGATCTGTATTTTGTTTCCACTGTTGATACTGCATTTGAAGAAGCAATAGTTAATTTCACTATGACTTAGTTTCTCACTCACTACTTAACCTTATGATGTGATCAGAATACATGAAATGATTAAGAAAACATTTTAGGGCCACAAAAAAACAAATGCTGTGGGTTCATTCTAGGTTCTAACCTTATACACAAACTTTTACTTTATTAATTTACCTCTGAAGAAGTTCCATGTAGGATTTTGTCAGTATTTCATGTTCTTCAGCCACAGACTCTAACTTCCTGTTATGTTGAAAGAGATGCTCAATATCGCTCTGGGCTCTTTCTGATTCGACCTGCTGTGACTTCAGCAACACACTGAGTTCTTCGTTTTTTCTCTCAACTTCTCTCAACATACTAGCAAGCGTCCGTGCCTTAAAATGAAACAAAAGAACACAGACTTTCCCACTATTATTTACACAATACGCTCTGTTCCTGCAATTTCGAAGATTTACCAAACAACTAATAGCATCTATTGGGCTATGTAAGGTTGTATTAGTCTAATATATTTATTACTTAACTATTTCTAATAAATCTGATACTGTTATAGTTTATTTAATAGATAATATCTATTAATAAATAGATAACATTCTAATAATAACATCCTCATTATAAGCAGATTAATAGAAAGGAATCAACAATTATAACAGTGGCTCTTGGCTTATAAATTTTACATATGGTACTCAGTTAAAAGGGTATAGTCCTTGAGTTTAGATGTCAAAACAAAGTTTGCAGACATTAGTTGTTCCATTTCAGGTAAGAATAAGATCTTAGCTATATCACAAATGCTTAAGCAAATGCTTAAAATTAAGCTAGCCTAATCAGGGAATACAACCTATATTTAATACCAAAGAATTTATGACATGAAACATACTGAAGCGGAAGAGCAACTAGAACAAGAAGTGAACTTTTCCCCCCTTTAGCCCTAAACACTACTTATTTTAACATTCTGGGTAAATACCTAAGCCGTTCTCTGCTTTTATGATATGGAATGTAATGCTGTAATACCTAATTATTTAGTGATACTTTCATGAAAACCCTTTCCAGTAACATTGACAAAATACTACACTCTTTAATAAAATGCAAGACATGTCTAACAGACACAGGATACAATACTGGTTTATAAGGAGATCGATTTTTATACCACTAATTTTCTTTCTTGGAATTTATGATAAATTCAACATACCAGTGAAGATAAATGCACCCACGTTAAAGTAAGAAAAAAGAATGAGGGTAATGTTCATTTAAAATTTTTAGAGTATCTTTATTCTGAAAGGATTGAAAAGGTATTTTACGTGTCACTGATTTTAATGCCTCTCAAAAGCCAAAAAAGCTTTATTACAGTTCATTACAAATGATACCAACTGTCTAGATTCCATTTGTATCTGTTGACGACAAACAAATCCATTGTCATCTAGTTTACTCCAACTGATGGCAACCTCATCTGTTAGAGCAGAACTGCTCCATACAGTTTTCTTGGCAGTAATTTTTTATGGAAGCAGATTGCTAGGCCTTTTCTCTGCAGTGCTGCTGGGTGGGTTTGAACTGCCAAGCTTTCGGTTAATAGTTGAGTACAAACTGTTTGCACTGCCGAGGGACCTACTGTACAATATACCTTTATTATCTTGGTTTTTATGGACTTAGCATAATGCCAAACTTAAGAGCACTCACCATGTATCAAGTACTACACTGGGCCTGGCTATACAGAAACCATCCCTGACATGATGGTGGATGGGAGGTGGAGAGGGGAGGGAGATAATATAATTTTCATATGGTATACGTGTGATATGGAGATAAGTACAGTGCTGATAGAGGAAGGATCACCAAATACATGTGGGAAGAGAAAGGCCAGAGAAGCCTTCTGGGAAATGGAGGTATTTAAAATGAAATCTGAAGGAATATGAGTTAGGCAAAGAAAAGAGGAAAAAAGGTGCTCCAGACATATGGAACAGCAACTGCAAAAGCAGGTGAACACAAGAGTATGGCAGGATCTAGAACTGCAAAGTAGTCTAATATAGCTGACTGCAGAGAGTGAGTGGAACTGCAAGGAGATGGTGCTTGAGAAGTAGTTAGGATCCTTGTATGTCAAACTAAGGAATTTCAATTACATTCTGACAGCAATGGTGAGCACTATGAAGGACACTCAGTACAGGAACGACAGGATCAGTTTACTGCCGCAAGAAGATCAGTGTGTGTGTGTCTGAGGGAAGGATAACCATAAACGAGACCACTTTGGCAGTAGTGTAGAAGGTGGCTGAGAAGAGGGCTCCAGGCGGAAAGTAGGAAGATCAATTAGGAGACTGCTGATTCATGTGAAAAATGAAAAGGTTTGACCTACAGAGAATAGTGGTAGTAATGGAGACAAGGCAGAAATGAGTAATGTTTAGGAGGTAGAAGCAACTAGACATGGTGAATGACTAAATTGTGGGAGGTAAATTGTGTGGTTTCCAGGTTTCTCATCAGACAACTCTAAGAGCAGCAGGGGAAACACAAAAGAAAGAATAAAATTTTAAAAAGAGGCAAGGTGAGGAGTTCAGTGTTCATTATGCTAAGCTGGTATATATTTACATGGAGCTACACAGCAGGCTTTTAGTGCTCAGGAAAAGATCTGGGCTAGACAAAAATTGGAAGCATCAACATGCTGGTAACGGTTGAAACCATGAAGCTTGTAAGAAGGGGAAAAAGGGCATAGAACAGAATCCCAAGCAATCCTAACATTGAAAAGTTGAGTGGAGGAAGAGAAGCTAACTCATAAAGTATGTGAAAGAACATCCACAGGGTAGAAAAAAGATCAGAGGATAATGACATAACCAAAATCAAAGGGGAGTTTCAAGATGAATGGAACAGCCGTATCAAATGCTGAGGAGAATTTGTTAATTAGAGTAACAAATATATAATTAATATTTTGTACATGTTTTAGGAGCCCCGGTAGTGCAGTGGTTAAAGTGCTCAGCTGCTAATCAAAAGGTCAGAGGTTTGAACCCACCTGCTACTCCACGGGAGAAAGATGTGGCAGTAAGTATTACAGCCTTGGAAACCCTGTGAGGTAGTTCGACTCTGTCCTACAGGGTCACTATGAGTTGGAATCGACTCGACAGCAATGGGTTTGGTTTTTTATTTCATTATTTATTTTTCTACTAGTCAGGCATGTTTTAATGTTGTACGCACCTCAGTCTCTGCTTGAGTTCTTTGACAGCGATACTGAGCAATAAGTCTATCGGCCTGTGCAAGGGCTAGAGCTTTTGCTTCCAAGAGATCTTGTAGCCTGCTTTCTTTGGACTATAAGAAAATATACCACTGATCATCATGATTTATGGAAAAACATTTATTAAAGTTTAATTGTTACACATAGTTAAATCAGTTAGTACTCACGGCTAAAGTGGACAATTTCATCTCATATATATCCATTATGTCAGAAATCCTCACATCATTAATCTGATCCTTTACCTAGGTTTTAATATAATAGAGTTCAAAAGTCAGAACATTTCAACACTGGACAAATAAATGCCTACTATGAAACTAAATAATTAAACATTAATGAATAACAAAATTTAAAAAAAATCAATTAATGCCATTTCAGGTGGGTCACAAGCAGTCACTAAGCTGGACAGTGTAGAACAATTTCAAGGTAAGATTTGGTATGCTCATGGGAATTTTAAAAATATTTCTTAAGCTGTAGGGTGTGGGGGAAATTAGGAAAAGAATGGTAGATGTGTTAAAATGTTGGAATTTTATGACTGAGTCTTCTTCCTTTCTTCCCAAACTTTCCAGAATATCATCACTTTTATATTCTAAAATAAACCTAAGAAGGTAAGATTTCAATGATGGAATTTGCATCTAAAGTTGCTTAAATAAATGTTATAACCAGTGCTGTCATTTGGCTGGTATGTACCAGCATAATCCTATTTATAATTGTCATTTATCACTCACCACCATTCCAGACTGAAGTTTCTCTATTAATTCCTCAATGTTCAATCCAGGAACATTATCTTTCAAAAGTGGAGGAGTTAAACACTTTACTGATGCTGGGAAACTGTGATTTAATGATTGCAAATGCATTCTTCTGGGCACATGTTCTGTTTCCTGTTGTCTATAGGCATTGTTTGCTGCTATACTTTCTCCAAGTCTGAATGGCAGGATCAAAAAGGAGAAAGAAATAATTAGATAAAAATAAAGCAAAACAAAGAGTTAGTGCAGAATTCAGGAATCTTTTAGAATAGGTCTTTTTTAAGAATACCAAAACCAAAAAACTCGTTGCCAGTGAGTTGATACTTACTCACAACAACCATATAGGACAGAGTAGGACTGCCCCAAAGGTTTCCAAGGAGCGGCTGGTGGATTCGAACTGCTGACTTTTTGGTTAGCAGCTGAGCTCTTAACCACTATGCCACCAGGGCTCCCCCCACCCCTTTCTTTTAGAAGTCTTCAAATATTCTTAAAGTAATCTTCTTGGAGACTATGATGAAGAAAGGTTTTAGGAAATATCTTAAATTTGCAGGAAGACTCACCCCATTTTCTACCTACAACCATTTTTAATAACTCCACCTCTTAGAGGCACTGACGAACTAGTTTGTGAGTGTGGAGTATTTCTAAAAATGAAGTACAAAGTTACTGGTCAGAGCACCTGTCTTACCATGAGCAATATCACCTGGCCTTTACCTATATCCTTCACTCTGCCCTTGCTCATGCAGCATGCTCTAACCAATCTGACCTGTATTTTGCCCTTTAAAACTCCATCTTGTGCCTGCCTCAGGGTCTTTGTATGTGCTGTTCCTTTATCTGGAACACTCTTCTCACCAGATCTGTATGGGCTGCTTCCTTCTCAGTTCAAATTCACCTCCTCAGAGAGGCCTTCACTAACCCCCTACACAATACAAATACTAACCCCTCCCCAAATACAGACATGAACAACATGAAACTGTTTAGCTTGTTTGTCTCTCAACTAGAATGTATACCTCATGACATAAGGCATCTAGTCTTATTTCCTGCAATATCCAAAATGCCTAGAAGAGGGCCTGACACATAGCTGGGCCACATACGTTTGCTAAATGTTTCAATAATAATAATAATAATAAAAACCCTACCTAGCCATCCATCTATCTAATTCAGCATATAAACTCAACTTTTTAAACTAAGATAATGTCAAATAAGGGCATTAAATAAAATGGTTTAAGCATAAATAGACACGTGAGATAGTGCTCAAGAGAAAATTATTTACAAGAGACGTAAGACGGGGAAGACCAAAGTACAGTGAAAACGGCCGAGGATGAGACTCTCATTTTCAGCGAAGCTGAAGCTTGCCACTCTGAAGCTTCTGGGTTTTGCTTCATGTATCAGATTATCACACTTGAAGCAAGCAAACCACTAAAAATGGAGCAGCTTCACAGACCACTTCTATCTTGTAAAATAAAGAGAAGCTCCCTGTTTGTCTATTATTTAAAAATAACTATCATAAAATAAAAGGAAGTTTGAATATGTGGCCAAACATTCCATAATTCTTCAACTCTTAATTTATGACCACCTATATAATTCTGAAAAATGGTTTCCTAGGTCAGTTAGTAGCATACTGCAGAAGCTAACAACCTTTTTCTTAAAAGACCAGATAATAAGCATTTTAGGCTCGAGGGCCCATATAGTCTCTGTTGCAACTCATCAACTCTGCCACTGTAGTGTGGAAGCAGCCAGAGACCATACAGAAAATATGAAAAGAAATGCACGTCTGTGTTTCGATAAAACTTTATTGACAAAAACAGGTGCCCTATCTGCTGGCTATAGTTGGCCGACCCTGGCATATAGCATGCCTTACTTACTCTTACCAAATGCTTCGGTAGATTATTCAAACCAGTTTTGCAGACTCATTTATATAAACCACTTAATTTTTAAAAATTCATTAAAATAGATTCCCTATTAGATATTTTGCCAAACTTTAGTTTACAGAGAGCCCTGAACATCTGAAATTTTTCAAACATAATATCAAATATTCTTTTATTATTTGAAATTACTGAGCACAGTGACAGTTCTGCCCCACCAGTATCGATTTCATTTTGAGATAAAAACACCCATTTTTCTTTAGGGAAACTCTCCCTTACCCCATCCCAACTTTCAGACCATGTAGTTCTCCTAGCTGACCTCTCTCCTTGGCATGTGGCCCAGGTTCTGGTCAGTGAGAGTGATGTTTTCTTTTCACTTAAATAACTGGGGACAAGTTCTTTCCATGGAGGATGTAAAATGGTAGGATGTACACTAGAGCATCCAGAAAAACAGGTGGTGAGAGACTGAGAGGGACAGTGCCTCGGTAATACAGTGAAACACTTGGCCCAGCCATTCCCTGAGTGAGAATACACCTGGGCTTTCCAGTTATAGGAGTCAAAAACTTGTCTTTTTTTTTTTCTAAATCATTTGAAAGATTACTGACTATTACAGTGAAGTGTTCAACTCACTTATTTACTGATCTATCTACACTGGGGACTGCTAAAGAAACATAGCAGGGTATTCTAGAACCACAAGAGATACACTGCAAATGATTCCAACTCACACTAAAGCAGGAAAATCTGGGAGTGGTGCAGCTTCCAATAATATTCCCAATCCAGACTGTACTTGTTCTCTATTATCTGATGTTAAAGCAAAAGCCAAAGGAGTAACCAAACGTGAATCCTAAACAAATCAGAAAACAGAAGATAAGAAGGTATTCTGCAAAGAGAAAGAGTAAGCAATGCCAGGCCTTTAACAGTATGGTGAGCAAAGAGTGCTAAATCATGAAACAATTCTAGGCGAGCAACAATGTGTTATTATCTGATGTTTGAATGTATTATTGTTATGGCTGTGTACACTGATATGCAATCATTGTGAATACCAGCTTAAAAAAATTCTAGCAAAGGTTTTGAATCCTTTTCATTGTTCCTTTGAAAATTATCTTAAATATTTTGATAAATTTAAAATCTCATCCACAACTGACTGATTTTTGAATTATTTTTCTAGCTATCATTTAAAAGAAGAAAAAGTTAGAAATGGCTTAATAATTTCCAGATTAATTAAAGCCATAAAATAAAAGCAAAATCCAAATTATCTCAAACTAAACTTACTGACTGAAACAATCATACTTGAAGTGTAAGTCCTTCAAGTCAGTAAATACTTTACATTAGCACTGTAAGCCCCAAATCATCTATTATGAAAAGCATCTCCTAAGAACTGATATAAAATCAGTTTAACCCAATTTTTAAAAAACATACATCATCAAGTTGTTAGCAAAGAAAATATTAAAATACAAGTCCTTTATAATTACCAACATTTTTAAATGTTGAGTGCCATGTAGGCACTCAAGTCTAACCCAATTCCACAGAACTGTGCTAAGATCTGGCATTTATTTTCATAACCTTCCACAGTAACCCTTCATAACTCCTCCCAGAGAATAGAATTATTACTCCACTTCATAGCCAGGGAAACAGCAGCTCAGTGAGGTGAGACAACCTGCTCAAGGACGCACTGGCTAACAAGTGGTGCAGTCACATCTGAACCTAGCATCTTAAGCATTATACTCTCAAAACATGCAAGCAAGTGTAAGGTTTTAGTTTTGGCTTCTACCCTGACTATAGATACACTAGAGCCATCTCTGTTAGTTTCCAAAATGTAAATTAATTCACACATGCTTGCTAGACACCTGTCACAAGCTAGGTGCTGTGAACATCAAGGTGGACATCTAGAGCTCTTAGTGAGCTACCACTATCACTGAAATTGGTTAGCTATTCTCTGCACATCCCCTCTAACCTTATTATCACTCACAATCAAGCCTTTTTCTTTCAGAAGTCTGTCTGTTCCCTTACAACCATGACCAAACATAAAACCCCAAAATACATGCACCCCCTCAAAATGACAACAGAAACAGAAGAACCTTGCAGTAGGACACAGAAAGGAAAAAGGCTGAAGAAGCAGCACTTAACATTCTGAGCATTTGATCCAGGAGCACTTACGTTCAGTTTCTGTCAAATTATGTAAAATAACTGTGTAGTGAGGATACTGTAAGTACTTAAGACACTTAACAACTTTAAACTTTCTTCTGATGGCCAATTCTAAGAAAAACATTTTCAAAAGATTGATAATATTAAAACAGCAAGTTATACTTTAGGAAGCCTTTACATGTATGAATACACTAAGAGTCTAAACTCACCTGGAGGATTTTGTAGAAGCTTACTTCCATACCAGGAATCAACTGTTTAAGTTTGTTCATCAAATCAAGAGTTTTCAAAATTACATCAGCAGCAAGTTTGCTTTAAAAATAAGTTGTAGTTAAATTAGATAACTCAGAAATTGCTTAGAGCCTATTTCCCTTCATAATTCTAAAGAAAACAAAAAGCCAACACTTATTTGTTTTCAAAACTCAAGAAGGTAAAGTATTATTTCTGTTGAGAAGTAAAAATATCAAAGATCAACATGCTTGTAATCCAAGACCCAAAGACAACACATTGACCTTAATAATCCAAGTGTAGACAGTGCTCTGTGTTTGACTTCCTACTTCAAAACTAGTAGTATCAGTAATATGATCTATTACATTCTTAGCTTTTTTACTGGAATATCGACACCAGAGGGCAACCTTACGCATACAGATTTGCTGAACACTGAATATGTGCTGTAAGAATTATACTAGGCGGTGTTCTCAACTTTGTACCTGAAAAGGAGTATAAAAAAAGTAAACAGATCATCTTGTTCTTGAACACAATCATTGACAACTATGACATTTATAGAATTTTGAACAAATCACAGTGTCTAACATTTAGCAGTCTTTCAATAAGATTTGTTAAATGGACTTAATACATGAGGGGTTAAGGACATAAAACAACATCTCATTACTATCAGTGAAAATCCACCTTTAATCATTAAGGAAGAAGAGTTGTCTCTGTCAATAGGAAACCTTCAGCAGTGAATTATTTCCCTGTAGTAAAAATTACCTGTTTTTTTCACTTAAAAATGTAAAATTAAATGAATAAAAATCTCAAAAAGGAGTTCCAGAAAAGAAATGTTCAGGAATATAGACAACTCTTAGACAATCACAATTAATTAAAACAAAATAAACCTAAACAATAAACAATAAATCATAGGCGTTAATACCTTTCTTCAGAGGTACACAATCTATGAATTAAAAAAAAAATTCATTATAAAAATATTTTTGTTAGTTTTCTGCTATACCTTGAGTTGATATAACATATCCAAGCGTGATTCTGCACAAGCGATGAAAATCACTGCCATAAAACCCCACCCTTTTGATTTTTAGGAAGTCTGCCCTTACCATTTTGCCATTTGGATTTCATATACTTACCACAATTCAGAATCTGCTACCTTTGTTCCAAACCCCAGGTCAATCTTGCCATATGTGAATTGTTGTTCTATCAGAGTGGTGCATTTAATAGTAGTCACAACTTTTGCAAGATGCATTTTGAGAGTATCATCTCCACACAGAGGTAGATTTTGTTAAGGAACATAAACAAAAAATTCTCAAAATACCTTATATTTATACGGCACTTTATAGCATTTGGAGTTCCTGTATGGTGCAAACTAAGGTTAAGGCACTTGGCTGCTAATCAAAAGGCTGGCAGTTCAAGTCCACCCAGAGGTCCCTCAGGAGAAAGCCCTGGTGATTTACTTCCAAAAAATCAGTCACTGAAAACATAAGAAGCACAGTTCTACTCTGACGCACACAGAGCTGCCATGATGCAGAATCAACTCAACGGCAAATGGTTGGTTTTATAGTATTCATGATGATTTCATACAGATTATCTCATCATTGCAATCCTGTGTAATTACTGTTACATTAGCTCAGTGACAGATTAGGAAACTCAAGCTCAGGATATGTGACTGGTAAATGACACAAGTGGACTAGCACCAAACATTTCTAACTCAAAGACAAAGCAAGATTGGTCTTTTTCACTGCATGTTAATTTTTTGTTGATCATAATGGTTCAATAAATTAAAGGAAGTTACTTTTTCATATTTGGTATATAATAATTTGAATATCTATCATTAAGAAGGGATCAAGTTATGGTACCATTCAATGGGAGACTGCTTGAGTATATTAATTACAAATAGCAAGGTCAAGCAGAGTAATCATGAATCCCTACAGCAGTGATTTTCAACTTTGGCTGCATGTTAGAATCAACCGGGTAGTTTAAACACACACCCACCCACTAGGGTTTCACGTCACTCCAATTAAATTAGATTCTCTGGAAGTAAGGACCTGGTATAAATATTTAAAACATGTTCCCCAGGTGATGCTCAGCCAGGGTTGAGATCCACTGCTACAAAAGAATAGGAAAATTAAGAAGCAGTGGCTCAGAGGGAAGAATAAACAGGTGGAGTTTGCTCTAGGACAGGACAAAGCTGAGCAAATTCTTGTCTGGATACAAGGAAATCTAGGTAAATTTAAGAGATACACAGGCTCATTGCTCACAAAAAAAAGGTTATGAAATATTAAAAGAATTCAGGCTTGACTTCCTAGCAACTTATAATCAGTTGATCTAAAAAACTAAAATTAACACAAAGACCCAAGAAAATCATTGTATACAACTTAATCAGCAACACTAATTGTACCCAAGGTTTCCTTTTTCTGAAAAGAGTTAATCTGTCTTGATATATTTGTCTTTTTTATAATCAAGTGTGATGTCATATTTATTAAAACATTTAGGGAGGTTGATTTTCATTTCAAAAACACAAACAAAAAACTGGGCTAAAATAATAACTTTATCACTATTTCCTTATTTTCTGATACACTCCACCAAAGAATGGCACCATGAATCATCCAGAGACAGCAATTAGCATCAAAAGCAGAAGACGGATTAACAAGGAGGGATAGAACAATCATTTTAAGGCATATCTTCTAATCCCAACTTGTGGTAAAAACGTACAAGTTTAAAAACTGTGTCTTAAAGTGCATTTTAGCATAACAGTTTTACACAGAAAAACAAGGAGAAAGTCTAGAAAACCTTTTTAGAGATTTCATTGAGAATAGAGATAAAAACAGTAAACGCAATCAATACTAGGGAAAAATGAGTGGCTATTTATATAGTTTCCATGTTTATGACAGAAAAGGATATTTAACAAAACTTCAATGGCCTTGACCATTCTTTCACATTTTTTTCTTAATAAGGGCTCATCAAGATTTTGTTCTGTAAACTGAAGTTGATCAAGGATTGTAGTCAGCAGAAGGGTCACAAAACGATCAGCTGAGGAAGAGCTGGCAGTATCTATGACATCCTGGAGAATTAAAGTTGTAAAATAGAATGCAGAAACTGTCCTCACTGAGCTGCAACGTTCTCTTTAAATTTCTTAAGAATTACTTTAATATTTCATATCTCCTATCAAGAAATTTAATATTTAATATCTCCTATTTAAAATCTATCTTTTCATTCAGGCTTCAGGACATGATGATTTTTTTCTCAAATGGAACAATAAGGATTTATTGTTCTACAAGAATAAGACCTTTTTAAATAGACTATGCCTGTGATTTTTAAGTTATTCTAAATTAGAAGTATCTACTGAAAAGTAATATCCTGAATTTGCTAAATATAATCACAATAATTAAACAACGATGTTGGTCTTAGTACTTTACAACCATGAATAACTTCCATCAAAAATCTCAAAGGGTTTTTTAAATGCTAAAGCTGATTAAGAGTCCAGACCAACATAAAATATAATGATTTGTGCATACTCCTCAAGAAACACCATCACTCATACATATATTTGCTCCATTCCATTTCACTGACTGAATCCAATGTCCTTATATTAATCCATTCAAAGCTTAATAGAGACAGAGAAGATCCACTGAGATGCAGCGACAGAACGTGACTACTGCAGTCATGTAACAGTGTAGTCACAAAACCACCACACACACTAATCTTAGTTAATACTTGTATTTTTTACACTGGAGTGAGTATATGTAAGCTACTCTGTGAAAAAAAGGAAAACACTAAAACATTGCAGAAAAAAGAAATTCAGTAGCTGAATGACAGCAAGTCATGTGATTGCTAGTAATTGAGAAGTTTTCCTAAAGCAAATTAACGACTGGAAGTTTACTATAAACATTTCTGAAAACAAATTGTTAATTCAAAGTGGAAAAGTCAATTTGTCAATCATCCTGTTACCTCGAATATTTCCTTGAACAACTCCAGTGCTAAAACAGAACAGTTTTCTGATGTGTCCAAAGGTTGGCTTGACCAACGAAGCAGAGCCACAGTAGGTTCCAAACACTTGGGACGACTTCCCAGAATGACGCTGCCAGATGGAGACTGTTCAAATACCATCTGAGTGAGCACGTGGCGCAGCTGAGTCACTGAACAGAAGGCAAGAAGTAATTCTAAAACCTGTGCAATATAAAGTCTTCATTAAATGTCAATTTCATTGGACTTCAATGTATAAAGCAAATGATGAAGCTGAAAACAACATTTCTTTTTTTAAGAAAATACTCTAAAACAAAAACTAAAAGCAGCCTCTAATTGTTCTTTTTTTGAGTATTATTTTTCGAATATGATGTGGTTACAGAAGGTTACAAAGGAATTTAATGGTGATTACCTCTAAGGAAAGGAGTCCTGGCGGCACAATGGTTAAGCACTTGGCTGCTAACCAAAATGTTGGTTTGAACCTACCAGCCGCATTGCTGGAGAAAAGACCTGGAGATCTGCTCCCATAAAGATTTCAGCACAGGAAACCTTATGGGCAGTTCTACTGTCCTATAGGGTTGCTATGAGTGGGAATCCACTAGACGGCACCCAACGACAACAACAACCTCTGAGAGTCAGGACTGTGAGAATCAAAGAAGGAGGGCAAATTCAACTGATGTACTCCTTCTGCAGTACTTTTATTTTTTAACCAGCATGTTTGTTTTCAAGATGAAAAAACTTAAGAAATAAAATTAGTAATTAAGAATACCTGCTGTTATTCTAAGATTAAAGAATTGCTACTATAAAACACTTTACAGTAAGATTTAAAAGTGGCTCCCAAAGCTTTACAATGTTGAAGATGGCTACCTGCACACTAAGTTAGCACACTGCTGGCATCATGGCCCTTGCCGACCCTCTTCTATGCCATTTCTTCTCCACTTTATAAACTGGGCCTTATGTGTTATATAGCATCCCACAGCAACCTGATTTATTAGCTCATGTTAAATTCCGCCTTATCTCACATATTACCAACCTATCAGTTTGTTTGAATTTTCTTGGTATCTCTGTCTATCCACTTTTTTTCTACCTCTCTTTATCTACTGCTTTGTGTAAATGACATATTATTGGGATAGTACCTGCTTTTAATAGAATTCAGTCCATTAACATTTATTGTAAAAAATGATAAACAATCTTTGATCTGTGTTCTAGATACAAATTATAGTACTTGTGTTTGAACAGCCAGCACATGTGCTGGGTTCCAAAATAAAAGGTACTACCCTGCACTCTAGCTGTCAATCTCCCTGAAGGCTAGCTTCTTATATATCCTACCAGAGATATGTGATTCATACACAAGCAAAATATATACATACTTCCTCAGATACACTTTTAACTGAAGTCATAAACACAGAAAGATAAACAGATCGATCATTACTGTAAAGCTAGATAGATTTTCAAAGTGAACATTCCTGTGTAACTGGCAACCAGCTCAGAAAGAGAACTCTACCAGTACTCCAGGAACTCATGACTCCTAGACAATGACCCAACTACACCTCCCCACCAGACTTCTGACACCACAGATTGTCTTTGCTGTTCTTGGATCTTTGTACTTCCACACAGATTTTTGAATCAGCCTGCCAATTTATACAAAGAAACCCACATGGAACTTTACATAAATAGAATTCTAGTTACACTCTTAGGTCAGGCTTCTTTTGCTTACAATTATGTCAGCGAGACTCATATTGTTACATGTAGCTACATTTCATTCATACTCATTGCTGTAAAGTATTCCAATACACTACAGTTTATCCATTCTACTGTTGATAGACATTTGGGTTGTTTCCAGTTCATGGCTATGAGGAGCCATATTGCTATGAATGTTTTGTACATGTTTTTTTAGTGAACTTATACGTACATTTCTTTGGGGTAAACACCTAAGAGTGGAATTGCTGGGTGATAGTGTATGTTCAGCATTAATAGATATGGCCAATTTTTCTAAGCACTTGTAGCAATTTTCAATCCCATCAGTATTGTATGAGAGTGATGGATGTAGCACATTCTCATCTATGCTTCCCCAGTTTTTTTACTTTAACCATCTAGTGGGAGTTCCTGGGTGACGCAATCAGTCAATGCACTTGGTTGCTAACCGAAAGGGTGAAGTTTCAAATCCACACAGAGTCACCTTGGAAGAAAGGCCTAGTGATCTACTGCTGAAAAATCAGTCATTAAAAACCCATGGAGGACAATTCTACTCTGACAGACATGGGATCACCATGAGACAGAACTAAGCCACAACTGTTTTTTTTTTTTAAGTGGCTGCGTAGTGGTATTGTGTTACTGTTTAAATTTACATTTCCCCGAAGATTAATGAGGTTGAGCAATAATTTCATGTTTATTGACCAATTCAAGTGTTTTGCTCAGGTACCTATTGGGCTATCAGTCTTTTTTCTGATTTACATATATGTTGTTTTTGTTTTAATACATATATTTCGGATAGGAGTCCTTTGTTGAATATATATATGTATTGTGGGTATCTCTTCCCACTCTGAGTTGCCTTTTTACTCTTACTGGAGGCCTTTTTAGGAACAGAAGTTTTTAATTTTAATGTAGCCCAATTTATCAATTTTTTTCCTTTAAGATAAGTGTTTTTGTGTTCTGCTTAAGAAAACCTTTGTCTCTTTCAAGGTCCTGAAGATATTCTAGACGATTCTTCTAAAAGCTTCATTGTTTTACCTTTCACATTCAGATACGCAACCTGTCTGAAGCTGATTTGTACATTTGGTGGAAAGTAGGGGGTCAAGATTCAGTTTTTTCCCTATATGGATATCCAGTTGACCCACGCCATTTACTGAAACAAGCATCCTTTCAAGAATATCACCTTTGTTGTCAATTAGGAGAACCATATGGTGTGGGTTTGGTTCTGGACTCTACTCTGTTCCACTGGTCTAGCTATCTATCCTTATGACAACACTGCACTGTGTTAATTATGACAGCTTTATATTAAGTCTTGATATCTGATAATACGAGGCCTCCAACTTTGTTCATCTTCCATCAGGATAGCCTTGGTTATTCTTGGACCTTTGCATAGCCTAATAAATTTTATAATCAGCTTTCCAACTTCCACATACCAAAACAAAACAAACACCTGCCATGATTTTGACTGACCTAACGTTGCAAACTCTTCCAATCCATGAACTTGGTAGATCCCTCCATGTACTTGGGTCTTTTCTCAGCACTTTCTAATTTCAGCAGGTTTGGTTTTTTTTTTTGGTTGTAATTTCACCGTGGAGGTCTTACATACCTTTTGTTAGATTTATCCCCTAAAAAAAAAACCCATCGCCATCAAGTTGATTCCAACTCATAATGGCCCTATAGGACACAGTAGAACTGCCCCATAGGGTTTCCAAGGAGCAGCTGGTGGATGTGAACTGATGACCTTTTGGTTAGCAGCCAAGCTCTAAATCACTGCGCCACCAGGGCTCTTAGGCACTGATTTTTTTTTTATGGTATTGTAAATGGTATCATTTAATAAATTTCATTTTCTGTTTGTTGCCAGTATACAGATAAAATTTATTCACATATACATTGATTCTGTATCTAGCAAACTTGCCAAATTCGCTCTTTAATTTTAACTTATTTTTGTATATTTGTTTTAGATTTTCTATATTCATAATCATGTCATCTGAACAATAAGTTTTACTTCTTACTTTGCAATCCCTGTGTTTATTCATTTTTCTTGAAGTACTAGACTGGCTGGGACCATCAATACAGTGCTGAACACAACTGGTGATAATGGCTTCCTTTCTCACTCATGATCTAGGGAAAGCTTTAAATAATTTGCCCCTAAGTATGATGATGCTGTAGGTTCTGGGTAGGAACTCTATCAGATAAAGAAAAGCTTCTGTTTATTCCTAGTTTGGTAATCTTTATCATGAATGTGTATTAAATTTTATCAAATGCTTTTTGTGTTTAATGAGATGATAGTTTTCCTGCTCTTTTCTGGGATGAATTATACTAATTTTCACATTACACTGCCCTGGCATTCCTGGCATAAACCTCCTGGGTAGCGAGATCCTTTTTACACATCGCTGGCTCTGATTTGCTAATATTTTATTTAGAATTTTGCATCTATGGAAGACTATAGACTTTTCCTTTCTTGTACTATCCTTGTCAGGTTTTGCCATCAAGGTTACATTGGCCTTATAATCAAACACATTTATCTACTATTATATAAAAAATAAGATATCTGACTATTTTTCCCCACACCAAGGTGCTTTTTGCTTTCACTGCTCCCCATCCCTGTGAATTATAGTGAGATATTTTTATTACTTTTACTTCTCCATTCCCTTTCAGGTTTTCTGACACCAGATGGCACCCTTGCAATGCTTCTACTCTTTTACTCTACCTCCTGAACTCCGGACTAGTTTAGAACCTTTAGATCAATATTAGATTTTTCCCTTGCTGTATATATTTTGTATTCCAATAATCTTTATTTAGCACATATATCTCTAGTTACTCTATCAAGATCCATTTAGACAGTGATTACGAACAGTTCTCATTTTGCTTATAAGAGAGAAATTCTAGATATTCTAGGATTAAAAAATATATAGAATATATTATTGAAGTATTTCATCTGATGACAATGTTCCAGAAAAGCCTCTGGAAGGAATAAACAAGAACAAAAACCTCAAAACAACAAAAAGGAAAACTGCTGGGCAATAAACTCCGCTCTATTTTAACTCTTCTACCATCTTCTAAAAAGTCCCTGGGTGGTGCAAACAGTTTGAGCTTGTTTTTCTAGATTCAGTGTTCCAGAGGAGCAGTTCAAAGCCATTCTGACTTTTTTCTTTTGTAAAAACTTGTAAGATAAAGTCTGGTCTGGCAACATGATGACTCCTATTTCACACCAAATATAAAAGTTAATTCCAAATGGATTGCAGACCATGTGAAAGGTAAAACTATAACGCTTTTAGAGGAAAACATGGGAATTCATCTTGGTGACACTGGAGTGGCCCAAGATTTCCTAAATGAAATACAAAAAGCACCAACTGTTCAGGATGATTGATAAATGAAGCTACATTAAAATTAAGACAACATTAAGAGAGTGAAAAGAAAACTCACAGAATAGACAAAGCTATTCAGTATGCATGTGGGGCAGGAGACATGAGTATGACAAAGGATCCTTTCCAAAATAACTTCTACATATAAATAAGCAAAAGACGGCACAACAGATCAACGAGAAACAGACATAGCAGGTCCTTCACCAAATAGGATACCAACTGGCCAATAAATATTCCAGAAGATAGTCAGCTTTACTGCTCATTAAAGACATACAAATTTAAACTAGAATGTAATACTATTAAATAACCATTACACTGGCTAAAATGAAGAAGTTGAAAAATACCAAATATTGACAAGAACATGGAGCAACTGGAATCTTCACTCCTTGGTACAGCCCTCTGGAAAAATGTTTCAGGGCACCTCCTGAACATCTGTGTGCCCCAGTGATTCCATTGCTAGGCACAGACCCAAGGGAAGCATGTACGTAAGCTCACGGAAAGACAGGCAGAAAATGTAAAAAGCAAGACACTTCATAACAGTCAATATCCATCAACAGAAGAAATAAACATGGATGAAACTAACAACATAATGTTGAACAAACGAATCTACACAAAGAGTATAATAAGCTTTTATTTAAATAAAGTTGAAAAAACAAAATATGCTGTTGAACTAAGGATACTGGTTATCCTTGCTGAGGGTGGGGGATGTGAAGGGGTGGGTAGTGACTAAAAGGGAACTTGAGAAGGATTTCTAGAGTTCTGATAATGCTGCTTCTTGATCTGAGCACTTGTCATAGGGCTTTGCTCAGTTTGTGAAAATTCAGAATGCAGCGCACTTAGTGTTTTCTGTACTTCATAGTTTTTTAAATGTTTAAAATAAAACAAAAAGTTATGTTTTTCACATACCTTTAAAGAAGAATCAGGATCCTTCCCATTAAGAAGACCTAATACTTGATTAAGACATGAAGAAAAGTGCTCATACCTAGGTTTAAAATAAAAGCAGAGATTAAATAGTAATTATGTAATTGATACATCAAAAGGCATTTATCTACAAGATAAATATAAAATTTAAGTGCATTTTCTGTCACCTATTTACTTTGACCTTCTTATATAGAACAGTCTTTGTAAAGTATATACTCAAAACCAGAAACGTACCCTACTACCACAGCATACATAAATTGGTCCTGTCATGTACTGAATAGTGAAAAAACAATGACTCATGCAGCAATAAATAAACCATTGAAACTTACAGTACCTCAGTTGCCTTATTTTTTTTTTCTTGTTAATGCTGTGTTCAGTTTGTAGAAGTTCAAAGGACACAGAGGTAATCTAGTGAACCAGGCAGCTACTTGTTAACCAAACACATACAATTGCCAGGCATGAAGTGAGTTTCTGCAGACACAGAGGTCAGAGGGAGAGCTCTGTGACACAACTCAGAGAGGTACCAGAGGTACCACTCACACTGTAGTCTCTGTGAATGGTGCATCCTTGACTTTGGAGTTCACAGTCTTAGGACAGAGGCAGAAAGACAGGAAAAATAATAGAATGTAATGTCAAATAACAACATTATAATGGAGGAATGTAGGGGGGTGATGTGGAAAGAGGATTGGTACCAAATCTATACTGGGCGGGACAAGCCTGATCAGCTGAGGCTTCCCAGACTTGAGTTTTAAATAATAAATAAGAGTTATACATATGATGGGGTAAGCTTATTCCAGCATTCCAGAGGAAATATAAGAGGAAAGAACACATGGATACATAAGAACGTGTTTCTAGCAAAGCTGGAAGTTCTATTTATTGTCTGATATGATTAGACAAAAGTACCTAAGGCAAATGTGAAGAAATAAGGCTGAGAGGTCTCCAAGGACCAGACTGATGGGAGGTCAGATTTGAAAAGGGACTAATGGTTGAAGAGGAGTTGAAAGTCGAGCATGTTTATAAGTCAAAGGAAAGAGTCAACTGAATGGGAGGCACTGAAGAGATAGGGGAAATGCTGAAGAAGACAGGACAGAATGAGACTGCATAGAATGATGTGATTTTTTTTAAAGTGAAACAGACAGGATGAAACTAAGTAAGAACTGGTATAAGCAAAGATAAGTAAGTTTGTCCAGGGGCATAGATTTGAGGGACCCCTAATCAGATGGAATTCTTTTTTTCTTCTTTCTGTGAAGGTCATCTTCTGAGAGAAAGGTAGCAAGAGGACAGTAGTGAAGATTTGATATAATCACTGCAGGAAATGAGAAAAGAAAGACGACTAGGAATCAATATAAGAGGTGCTGGTCCAGCTAAAGTTGTATGGTTTCTCTCAAGATTTGATTAGGAACACTTAATAAGTTAGACTTTGGAACAGAATCAGGACTGGGGTTTTGCTAACTGGTATGGCAGGTAAGTAAGAGGACAACACAGTTAAACACAGTTCTCTTGCTAGAGATGACTCATAGGTTCTACGTTGCATAGGGAAGAAAAGAGATAATGGAACTGAGAGATTTACAGAAGAAGAGATTAAGCAACCAGTTACTAATGCTAAACTAGATTATCTTCTATCTTCCCGGAAAGGTATATCCAAAAGAATTTTTCTACTTCTTTGAAGCTGGTAAATAAGCACTATTTAATGGCCAGAATGGGTGTCACATGAGAATATACTGGGAGAACGCTTAGAATAAGTGAAAAGAGGGCAGATAAAGGGCAGGTACTCAGGAAGAAAGTTCTCTTACCTTTTGACACTTAAAAGAAGAAAAAGTAACATGTGAATGTGAATGCTTCTTGGTTCTGCAGTTAGCTAAGTGGTCAACCTTGTCCTAGTATTTACGTTGGATTTTTAAAACTTCATACCCTTGCCACTGCTAATTTCCCCTCCTCTCCCAATGCTTGATCTCAGTAGGGGCTCAATAAATATTTTTGCATTTGTGACTGCTAAGTCAAATTAACTCTTTGAAGCATTTTCAACAGTTTCCTAACTTAGCACAACAAAGCAGCTTAGGCAGTGGGCAAATTTCACTTAAGATATTAAAGACCACAAGCTCTTTGGAAAACAGTTGCTTACTGATCTCAAAATATAAATCATCACATGAATTCCATGAAATACCACTGAGATAGAAAGGACATATAATTACATACTCCTGTTTTACCTTGCAATATGACAGAGGCATGCACCAGAAGAAACACTATCCATTTTTTAAACAAAACAGAAAAGGCTCAAAGGCATGCTAACAAGAATGTTCCTCTAATAAAAATATTCTTTCAAAGTATCATACAATGCTCAAGATTTAAAAATGGTTTTGAAGCCGATTAATCAAGATGTCTATATTCTGGAAAATGACATGACCCTATTGATCTAAGACAAAGACTGAAACACACACATGTGCGTGCATGTGGAAAACCCTGCTATAATTTTACATTTCAGGCCACAGAAGAAAACAGAATGGAAATAAAGCACACCAAAACATTTAGTCTACTGTGAATGAGTAGAATTGATATTTACTAAGTCTATGAAGGCAATTTTATATATTGCAAACGCTTCATGGTTTTAAAATTCTAAAATTTATCAAAGAGTCATACCTGGTAAGATAATCAGCAATTTTAGGATTTTTAAGGAGATCTGTTAGCAGGTCAACTGAATACTTTCTAGTTAGGGTACCATCGCCGTTTACGAGAATATTAAATATTAACTGAAAAGTCTGATGAATGTTTCGAGCATGGAACAGCTTAAAAATAAATTAGGGAAAGTATGTTAAACAAAAAATGAAGCTGACACCATCCTAAAATATAACAAAAGGCCTCAACAACTTTTAAAGTATTAGAAACTATAAACTTCTAGTGAATTATCTTTATAAGTAATTTATTAAATCATATTTACCTTTTCCCCAACTTCTTCATTTAATGTCAAACTGGATAATATTGAAAGTGCAAACACAACCACAGTTAAACTACTATGGGCCAAGTAAGTTATAAGAGTTCGATAAAAAGATTTCACATTACTCTGAGGAGGAAAAAAAAAAAACAATGAAAACTTGTAAGTTTTATATATTGGTTCAAAAAATATTATTTGTAGAGTAGGTAAACAAATTTTTATTAAACATCATTATCAATCTATTAAAAAATGATTGTCACCTTTAAGAGAGATTTTATGGTGTTCTAAGGGAGAAGGTCATATAGTCGAAGATACACATAAAAGATTGCTAAATACGAAGAGCATTTAGGCAAAAAATAATCTAGCAAAGGTGTCCAAATGAGTGCAAGATGAATTTCTGTCAAGTTTTATCATCTTAGAATAATAATTCACTGACAGTAAATCTGGGTGTCAATTCTAACAGGAGTTCAAAAGGGACATATGGAGAGTTTGGAGACTAGAAACTGAAGAGCTACCTTAAACACTGCAGGAAAAGTTGTTTAGAGTTTAAGTTAATGAAGAAATTGAATGAGGAACTCTCATGATCACGGTAAAAAGCAAGAAAACGGTTGCTAAATTAGAGAATTTATCTTGTATTACACATTTTGGGGCAGCAGTTAACTTGATCACACTTGCTGATTACCACAGGAACTTGAGAGATCACTCCAGGGGTGAGTGGGATGGGTACTTTCATACATTGCTGACAGTAGGATACTACAGACAGGTACAATCTTAGTGAAGAAGTTTCTAGATATGGGGTTATGAGTGAATGCTGACTCTTCATTATATTTAAGTGTCTTAAAAACGTGGGCATATTTTTCAATTTAGAAATATGTATATAGGAAAGACAGACTATGTTTCATCTATACACCTGTTTATCTATAAACCTTTAGTAAGGTTAGAGATAAATGTTGAGATAAACAGAACTATCTGTGATCTTCCCTCTCTATAAACCTTTATCAAACACCTCCATGGCTCAAAATAACCTCCACCTTCAAAGTAAAACCAGGTCAGAAAAATCTAGCATATGAACAAATTAGATAGTAATACTAAAATCAAACAAGTAATTCTGAATATTGCATAGCAGAGGCATTGTTCACAAAGCACCTTAATCAATCAGTGAACTTTCTTCATTTAAGATATTTTTAAATGCAGTTCAGCTAACCTTACTTGTGTGCCCTCAATTATCACATGTAATTGTAGTTGATATTGTTGTTGGTTGCCTTTGAGTCCATTCTAACTCATGGCAACCCCATGTGTGCAGAGGAGAACTGCTCCACAGGGCTTTCAAGGCCATGATCTTTTGGAAGCAGATTGCCGGGCCTGTCTTCCAGATGCCCCAGGTGTGTCTGAACCATCAACCTTTGGCTAGTAGTTGAGCACTTATGTGTCTGTGCCACCCAGAGACTCCAACTGTAGCTGACAGACCCGGCCAAACCCGTTGTCGTCAAGTCGACTGCAACTCATAGCGACCCTATAGGCCAGAGAACTGCCCCCACAGGGTTTCCAAGGAGCAGCTGGTGGATTCAAACTGCTGATCTTTCGGTTAGCAAGCGGAGCTCTTAACCACTGCGCCACCGTAGTTGATACTAGGCATTTATTCATCTATGTTTTTAGGGGAGTTGCTATTCATTTTGTGGAAATAAAAAACTGAGGTAAACAGGATAGAATGCTAATGAAGTGCCTCCTGTCTATTAAGCACAAAATAATTTAGCATCTCTTAATATTATTCAATGTGACAAATAGTGCGGTGCTACAGAGAGGGAAAACTTCTAGTACTTAACATTTGTATTAACCCTTATGGCCTTCAAATACAGCATACACAAATGCTGGAATACTTCAGTCATTTATGTGTCAATCTGATTCTTCACAAGCTTTGAAGGGTCAGCTGGACTAGACATGGGAATCCTTGCTAAAATTTTTCTTAAAGGAAAAGAAATGGATAAAATTTTCTTTAAGCACAGAACTCACCACAAAACAAGAAACATTTTAAAATAAACTTCTTACCAAAGTCTTTACGTGCGTTTGAACAGAAAGATTGTGCCGACAAAGATTTGCCAATAATCCCAGACAAGGCATAGTTAACTCATCTTCTGAAGACTGACTGTTGTTTTAGTTTTATGTATATAATAAAAGAAAAAGCATCGGATTAATTCTAATCTCCTCAAAATGATACAGTAATTTATATTTTTTAATTTTTTCTACCAACTATAGCAGTTAAGAGTAAACATTTTTTTCCTTTTACACAAGCAAAAAAAAAAAAAAAAATCTAATTAACGTGTGAAGCAGGCTAGTTCTGAACAGGACTGATCATTTATTTCATGTTTTGAAACTAAATATCTTATTCAGTTGCATCACAGTAACATGGAAATAACTGTCAGAGTGATCCTGTGCTATTTTATCAGTATATTTCCTCTATCAAGAACATTAAATATAAACTTACAATTTGCAGTTTCAATAACAATTTTTTTGGCCAAAATCAATTCATTTAATAAATTTTTGTTATGAAAATTAATGTAAAACTGCTTTACAACATTTAATCCTAATCCTGATTTCAGCCAAGAGGAGCAAGCAAAAATCAGTTTCAGTTTAAAATATTGAAAAATTATCTAAGAAAAACTGAACTACTAGATGGTTTTAGTTTCAAAACAAACCAAAGGATTATTTGGTTACATGTTTAAGTGATAAGGTTGCATACTCACATGTGATCTATCAGAAATGTAATTAATTCATCTATATTGGCGCCAGAATGGAAAATTTTGGCATTATAGGTTAACCTCTGCAGAAGTTGAATGCACTGAGAATAATAAAATACTTGTGAATGTAAACATATAAGAACATATTGCCTACTCACAAGAATGAACTATACTGCATATTCTGTCATGTCATCATTTTACAAGAAAAGAGTTTAGGGCGAGAACTTTTCCATTTCTTAAATGGTTCTATCTTTAAAAACAAAACAAAAAATCACATACAAAGTAATAAGACTAAGAACCTTAACCTTAATCTCCCGATTCACGCATTTCTGTACATTTTACTTCAAACGGTGCAACTTGCCATAAACTTTGTCCACTTAATCATCTTGTATACAGGTTGAAAAACCTACCATAGTCCATCAATTTTACCACTTCTAAAACTTGCATGTCCATTTAATTGGCAATGTTTTTTCTTTCTTACAACTATAGCATTTTAGGTTCTAAATAAGACTCTATCTATAGCTTCATTTTTTGTTATGTTTCCTCAACAGATTGAAACTAGAAAACAGCTCTAAGTATAATTTTAGCATGAATAGTTTACATCTCAAAACACAGACATCTGTGACTGTCAGTCAGTCAAAGCAGTTACAATGTAGATTTTTCTTCAATGATGCTGCTAGATGTGAATAAGCTTCCCTTTTCTAAACTTTAAAACAGTAGTACACATGTCCAATCAGCTCTTAAATTTATTAATGTTAAGAACTGTGCCTAACAGTTTATAATGTTGTTGTTAGGTGCCGTGGAGTCTATTCTGACTCATAGCGACCCTATATAGATATTATCAATTTTGATCTGAAAATAAGGAAGGGAAAACCAGATGCCAAGTAATAGAGTACTGTATGATGTCTGTACCTGTAGAGACACTGAATTGCTGTGGCAAGCACTGTTCCGACAAACCACTCCTGCTAGCACACTATTCAGACTGTACGTATTCTGAAGACAATCTTTGGTTTCATTGTCTAAAGCTGTATGTGAAAATAAAATGGTACGAAATATATCATTTTCATATATGATCTATTTCATATGGCAAAAAGAAAAATAATTTTTAATTTATTTAATATTAATCTTACCATTATATAAAAAATTAAATATAATGTGGCTATTTTATTCCCTAATACCCTCCAATTCAGAAATTTAATCATAGAAATTTTATGTACTGGAAAAAGGGGATATGATTTTTCTCCTCTTTTTCAATTTACAAATGATTTTTCTATGTGGAATAAAAAAATCTCAAGAACAAAAACTTGCTTTACATAGTTCTAGAAAGTTTTACTATCAAGGTTATTACTTTAAAAATTACTAATATATGTAAATGTCAGAAGCAACTGCATTCTCATACAAACTGTTGGTGGGTGGTAGAACTGGCAGAGCCTTTTTGGAAAGCAATTTGGTAACAGCTATTAAGTTGAAGACTGACCCAGAAACTCTACTTGAAATTTACTCAACAGAAAAACATTAACATTTGAGCAAAAATACATTTAAAAGAGTTCACTGCACTATTGATTCTAATCTAAAAAACTCAAAAAGAACATGAGTGTCCACCATTAGGGGCATGGTTAAATAAATTACAGTACTCTATAATATGGTACTAGGCAGGTATTGTAAAGATACTGATATGGAAGCACATGTAAGATATACGTTAAAAAATGAAAATAAAAAACAAGTTGTAAATATCTGTTGCCCCATGACATCATTTTTTTTTTGTTTGTTTGATGGAAATTGTACATTTTTTTTTTAATTGTATTTCAGGTGAAGGTGTACAGAACAAATAGTTTCTCATTAAACAGTAGTACACATATCGTTTTATGACATTGGTTAACAACCCCACGACATGTCAACCCTCTCCCTTCTCGACCTATTTTTTTTTTTGGTGAAAATATACATAGCCAAAGATATACCATTTCAAAAATTTCTACGTGCACAGTTCAGTGACATCGACTACACTCTTCCAATTGTGCCATGACATCAATTTTTGTTTAAAAACAACACCCAAAGATCTGGACTTATTTGTTACAGCATAGAAAAAGATCTGGAAAAACACACATCAAACCATTAAGACATATTATCCCCAGAAGAGAAAATGATGAGGAGTGATGTTGTTGGATAAAGACTCATTACATTTTATTCTTTGTATCTGCACTGTTTAGTCTGATAGCCACTAGCCACAAGTGGCTATTTAAATTTAGACGAACTAAAACTAAAGATCCTGTTCCTCAGTCCACTATCCACATTTCAAGTAATCAATAATCGCACGCGGCTAGTGGCTACTACACTGGATGACACATAGAACATCTCCATCATCGTAGAACGTTCTACTGGATGGTAATCCTCTGTTAACACTTCTGGATCACTGAAATTTTATATAAGCATGTGGTAATTTTATAATCTCACAAACAAAAATCCACCGTCCCCCAAAACACAATCAGGAAAAAGGTGACTATTAAATGAAAATTTAAAAAATAATAAGGGGGAAAATATAGAAAGAGCAACATCAGCATCAGTTCTAAGTTCAATATAGTTTATAAAGGACAGTTCTTTGATCACTAGCTATGATTTTTCTGAGTGGTGTACTTAACACTGGCATTACATATATGACCTTTTTTTCCTAACTAAAAAGTAGGCCAGCATTTCCCAAAGTGCATTCTTTTCTATAGAACACTGGACCTTTGATACGCTTCAGATACCTTGGTCCAATCAGTTTAAGAAATGCTACATACAATATTCTCTTCTTTCAAGAGATTCACAAGGCATAACAGCTCTGACAATACCTGTAATGAAATCTTTTGAATATGAGTCACTCTCAAAGAAGATTAGATAACTAAATCTTCCCTTTAAAAAATAATAAATTCATATGTGTTTGAAAAATAAGACAAACGAAATAGTTACCAAGTTGAGACAGCAGACTGATAATACTTAAGATTAGTGGAGCACTTATGTTTGGATCTTCAAGCAGCTCTACAAGGCAACTCAAGCATTCACTTGGTAAGATCTGATTTGATGTAAACAATCGTGTGAGCTTCTGTCCAGAAATTACCTATAATAATTAAAATATGTAAGTTAAGAATTGCCAATTTTCATTTCTTCTCCTTTCCAAAAAAAAAAAAAACTCACTCCTACCAAAGTGCCACTGCTCCTCTCTCTCCCCATTTAGAGACTTCACACAAGCTGTCTGTTCCTTCTGCTGGAAGATTACCCATCCCTCTCCTTACTAGGGCTCAGATTAAATTAATTTCTCCAGGGAGCTTTCCCTAACTAATCCTCTTCCCCCAACTAGGCTAGATCTGCCGATTACACTATCCTGTATCTACTTCGTAAGTCAGCAAACTTTTAATTATCTAGCAACGTTCAGCCTCTTCACTACACTGAACACCCCACCACTGAACACTCCATGAAGGCATGGACTATATATAAATCGATATTCTTGTTGTTAGTTGCTGTTGAGTGGATTCTGACTCATGGCAACCCCATGCGTGCAGAGCAGAACTGCTCCATAGGGTTTTCAAGGCTGTGACCTTTCTGGAAGCAGATTGCCAGGTCTTTTCTCCAAGGTGCCACTGGGTGAGTTTGAACCACCACCTTTCAGCTAGCAGTTGAGCACTTAACCGTGTGCAACCACCAGGGACTCCACTACCAATATATCTACTGAATAAAAGAAGTCCAGTACACTCATTCCACCTACGTTGAGGGAGGCACAGGGAAAGTGAAAAGCAGTTAAGCCCAGAGACTAACTACTGGATTACTCCTTCTGCTCCCTCCCAAGATGGTAGCTGAGCTAAAAGTTAGAGATTACAGAGAAGGAAGTTAAAATTTTTTTTTCCATTTTTACTTCTTTCCTGTAACCTTATAAACTACACACACAACACTACAACACACCACTCCCACCCACCCACACACACACACACAGTAAAGCTGGGACTGAAAGCCAACCAGCTGTCGGAATATAACATATATTCAAAATGCTTTATAAATATTATTCAGTATTAAGCATATCTTTCCTATAATGATAAAAAAAATCAGTTACTTTACAATTAAACTAAATCTGTTCTAAACATTTATTTTTAAAAGATCAGGCCTATGCAGCCTGTTTTAACATCCTCTAATCTCTCCTCTGTTGCTATCAGTTGCCATCAAGTTGACTCCGACTCCTGGTGACCTTATGTATAAGACTTCCAGCACTATATTGGACAGTATTCTGCTGTGATTCATAAGGCTTTCATTGCCTAATTTTCAGAAATAAATCACCAGGTCTTTCTTCCTAGTCTGTATTAGTCTGGAAGTGCCACTGAAACCTGTCCACCATGGGTGACACTACTGGTATTCGAAATACCAGTGTCATAGCTTCCAGCATCACAGCAAAATGCAAGCCACCACAGTATGACAAACTGACAGATACATGGTAGTTCCTCTCTGTAACTCTCTTATTCCACATGTCAGTTTTTCTTCTATAAGTTTTGCTGATAAGAGAGCTTCAGATTATCTGTTTTCAAGCACTATGTGTCTTAATATTACTAAGTTTAAAGTGGGGCCCTGGTCTCTAAGATTGAAAAGAATAGGTCCAAAGGTGAAATATGGCTGTTGATAGCAGATGTTTTGGTATAGGGAACCTTCTGAGCATTGCCTGTTTGCCTATGTATAAAGCTAGAAGATTAACACATGTCCTGCTTTTAGCACAATTCCACTCAGGATTGGACTTGCATCTCAATAACATAAGTATTCTAACATGTAATAAATACTTATTACAAGGTAAGATAAAGAATTGTTTTACAAATTTTCCCCTTTACTCAAACACATTGAATGTTTAATACAAAGACAATTTATTTTAGTAATAATTAATCCTTATATAGCACTTATTCTGGTTTAGGCATTTTTCTAGGTACTTTATGTACGTCAAGTCTTTTCTTCTTCATAATAACCCTACAAGGTAGGTGCTACTACTGTTTTGCAGACAAGTAAACTGAGGCGTGCACTGATGATACAGCAGTGCAGCTGGGATTCATACCCAGGCAGCTTGGTAGTGTTATGAAATAACATCACCAACAATGAGACCAGTTCAGCTCTGCAGATAAATTCAAAGCTCAGGTTCCCAATTCAAACCATGGGACTATAAAGACAAGATGCGCAACTGAATGAGTAGTCTCCTTTCATGTAACACCCATCTATCTTTGCATCATCAGATGCTGCTCATAAGATCCGCACAAAGACATGCACCATTAAAAAGAAAAATCCACCAAAATGGTTAAAATTAAAAAGAATAAAAAAAACAAGGGTTGGTGTGGATGAGTGACTACAAATCCCACATATTGCTGAAACCATCAAAAACCATTGCCATCAGGTTGATTCCAACTCTTAGCAATCCTATAGGACAGAACAGAACTGCCCCACAGGGTTTCCAAGGAGCGCCTGATGGATTCGAATTGCCGACCTTTTGGTTAGCAGCCAAACTCTTAACGACTATGCCACCAGGGTTTCCGGTATACTGCTCAGGGGAGGGTAGAATGGTATAACGTTTCAGGAAACTCGTCTAGCAGTTTCAACTGAAGCTGAATGTAAGAATTACATTCTCTACAGCCCTAAACCCAAAAACAACCCAAACCAGTTGCTGTTGAGTCAATTTCAACTCATAGTGACCCTACAGGACAGAGCAGAACTGCCCGACAAGGTTTCCAAGGCTGTAATCTTTATGGAAGCAGAATCCCACATCTTTCTCCTGCAGAGAAAGCTGGTGGGTTCCAACCAGCGACATTTCGGTTAGCAGCCCAGCACTTAACCACTGCACTACCAGGGCTCCTTCCCTACAGCCCTACCCAACCAAAAAAAAAAACCCAAACCCATTGCCATGGAGTTGATTTGGACTCATAATTCCACTCCTAGGGATATAAGAGAAATGAGAGCATATACTCAAGAAAGACATGTATGAAAATATTCATAATAGCTTCATTCATAATTCCACTCAGAAATGAAAACATGCCAAATGCGTATCAATAGGGGAATGTATATAACTGTGGTATATTTACACAATGGAATTCTATGCAGTAATAAAAAAAGAATGAAGTTCTGATACAAGTGCAACACGAATAAATTTTACAATTATACTGAATAAAAGAAGCCACACACAAAAGAATACATACTATATGAGTTGACTTACATAAGTCTTACAGAAAGGGACAATGAAGAAAACTTACGGAGTGATGGAAATATTCTATATCTTGTTACAGGTGCTAGCTACAAAAAGTATATATATGCTAAAAAATCCATCAAGCTCTTCACTTAAGATTAACACACCTCATGCACTTTACTGTATGTATGTTATCGCTCAAATAATAAGTCCCTGATAATTATAGCTTGTGCTCTTCACACCTTTCCATCAAAATGTCCCAATGACAGAATTTTCTCTAAACCCGTTTAAAGTATGGGAGGGAATGTGGTATCAAAGAGCCAGTCTGTAAACCTCAAATTCCTTTGACATTTCCTTTAATTCATGATAACCTGTTTATCCTCAAAGAAAGGTTAACGTTTCAGATTATCATCTAAAACACTTAACCCCGAATTCTTAAATAAAATTGATGGCCCTGCTTATCCTGCTTCTGGAATCCACCAGTGCACTACTCTATCCTTATTTGAGAAGCAAAGCCTTAACCATTTAACAGTTAACATGTTAATCATGAGGTTTGCAGGGATTTGTTGAGGCAAGGAATGAGGAAAAGAAAAGAAATTTACCGAGGGGATGGGCAACTGGAGTAGTATGGAGAGGAGTACCACCAAAGCTCAACATTTACTATAGTCCACTTTTAGAAAAAAAGTGTTGGTGTACCATTCACAATTATCTTCTGTGTAGTATTTTGCTAATCCTTGGTACATCAGCCCTTTGTCATAGGGTTAATATGTCAAATAGAATAGATTTTAAAAATATGTTCAAGTCTAATGTTAAGGGAAGCTGCGACAGAAAGAATTCTTAAAACAAGCTTTGATTGAGCTTCACTGCTTTTTATAAGGCTGAGATTAAAGTCAGTCTGAATATCATGAATGTGACACAAATGACAGCAGGAGATTGAAAATCTAGAAACAAACAGGGTCACAGAAACAAAACTGTGATTACAATTGTTCCAAAGGAATGTCTTAATAGAATAAATAGTCTAAGCACAAATCACTGGAACTAATCGAAAAAGCTGAAATAATAATTTTCAAGTTCGAGCTCAACACGAGTTCAAATAAAACCAGTAAGTTCAGATTTTAAACTGGCTATGGGCAAAAGCAAGTTTTAATCTTCACTCCCCACCATCTCCATCCCCTAGAATCGCTGAATATTCTGTCAGGGATTAATTTCGATGGAAACAACAAAACAAGAAGTAAAAGAAGAGAAGGTATAGCTCCGAGCTTTCTCCTCTACCTACCTGAAATACAGCCAAAACACCGGAGCCTGTTGTCCCAGCCTCCTATCGCAGGCACTAGGGGCGGGTGCGGGAGGGTGGCGATTCAAGGCTGACACGCATTTGCCTTTACCAGGACAAAAAGACCGTCGAGGGAGCGAGGGGCTGTCCTCTTTCCTGGGCTCGGGCCGCCACACCCGGCAGTGAGCCAGGGGTTACTAGAGGAGAACCCCATCTCGTCCCCACCCCAGGGCCTCTCACCTCCAAGTGCCGCAAAAGCTGGGTGGCGTTCGCCTCCGACTTAACGGCTTTGTACTGACTGATGGTCAGGAGTAAGGATTTCAAGCTGGCGGTGGAATCCATCGGGACTGGCCCAGCCTCGGCGGGGACCACCACCCAGCCTGCTCTGGGTTCCAGCTTTCGCCGCGCTTTTTTTTTTATTTTCGACCCCACCCCCTCGCGCCCAGTAGCTTCCGGTTCCGGTAGGGTTCCGGAAGCCTTTCGCTCTCCGGGGGACTCGCTGTCAGTGAGCGGCGGGGTGGGTCGGAGGGGGAGGGGGTAGTGGTGCTCCGCGGCTCCGTGAAGGGGGTTGGGAGCTGCCCCTCCAAATGCTCCAGCAAACCCGCCTTTTCTTCTTGAGCCCGCGAAGCTTTACCTTCGAGATCCCGTGAAAACGAGAAATCTCGCGAGAAACGCGATTGCGCCCCAACCTGGACAAGGGAGTTAAGCGACGGGGTGCGTTTTTAGTCTATGGGCTTGGTTTTAATTTTTTGTTTCTGGGCCTTCACGCTGGATGGCCACTTTTTCCTTTGCGCATCATCCTCTACCTGAGAAATAGTGTAGACACTGTGAGGAGCTCTGAATAGGAAACTTTGGGCGCTAGATTTTTGAGGCACCCGGGGTGGGGGGTACCTCATTTTAAATCTTTCTTAAATCCAGCCCGTCTGCCCAGGGATGATTGTTTCTCAGAGTAACAACGCTATGGCCATTGGAATTTTGTGACGGCTGTTCACGTCCTTAAGCTAGCCTTTCTCAAGCTTATTCGAGAAAGCTACCTCCGGGCGACTCCCAGGCCCAGTAGTAGTATATTGTTCTTCAGGGTGGTTTCGTTAGCGTCAGTTTCTGTTAAGTGGAGATGTCTTTCTGTCTGGCATGATTGTTATATAAATCTCGGTGTCTATGAAAATGGTACCATTGCGTTTTTTGATCAGAGATAAATAGTACTAATTAGTGTTATGGAAACCCTGGTGGCAGAATGGTTGAGAGCTAGGCTGCGAACCAAAAAAGTCGGCAGTTGGAATCCACCAGGCGCTCCTTGGAAACCCTATGGGGCAGTTCTACTCTCCGCTATAGGGTCTCTATGAGTCGGAATCGACTTGACAGCAACGGAGTTCTTTTTTTTTGTTTAATTAGTGTTATGCACGTGTATATCATGAAGTGAGTCAAGTAGCCGGTTCTGCAGCTTTCTTAATTTATGCTAATGCCTAATAAAGCTTTAAAAATCAGTTTGTGGAAAATTTTAAGAGTAGAGTACATCTCGAGTTAATGAAATGATTCATCAGAAATCATGTTTTGTCAATTCAAAAGGCGTATTTTTTTACATCACTACATTTTTAAGGGCAGGTCTATTTTTATATTAAAAATGTCGATTTCACTATTAAATCTAAAAGCTTAAAATGATTCGGCCAATTGAGACAAACTGTAATGATCATTGGGAAGGGAATGTATTCATTCATGCGTTCAGTAAACAGTTGTTCAATGTATAACATGTACATTTGCCAGTCAAGGTGCAAAGATAATGATGTCACCCCTGCTGGGAAGGAACTGTCTAATAAGAGAAACGTACTAAATAGTGCATATGGAATTCAGTGTATAAATGAGAGACACCACGTAGTGATGTAAAGAGTGGAGCCATGCTGTCTGTGTACAGATCCTAGCTCCACCTTTTTCCTGTGTGACCATTGGCAAGTTCTAAGTGTAGTAACAAGGTAAAATCTGGCTAATTGAAGTAGCTGTTTCCTAGGTTTGATCTTGCAATAAATATTCATTGGGAGCCTACAGTGTGCCAGGCACTATTCTAGGCCCTGGGGATTTCGTGAGTAAAACAAAAACCCTGCTGTCATGGAACTTACATTCTGGTAGGGAGAGAGATAATAAATAATCGACACCATAAATTAAAAAAAAAAAATGATATGGAGAAAAAATAGAGCAGAGCTAATACTCTGGAATAATAGCATTTGAGAAGATGGTGGTTATACCGGTAATTTTCAATAGAGAAGTCAGGATGGGTTTCACTGAGAAAGCAACATTTGAGAAAATACTGCAAAGAGTTGAGAGAGAGACATGCTATCTAGAGGAAAAGGTTTCCAGATACAGGGAATAGTAAGAGCAAAGGCCCTGAGGGAGGACCATGGCAATGTGTGCCAGGAACAGCAAGGCGACCACCATAGCTGAAATGGAGAAAGCAAGGATGAGAATAGTTGGAGACAAAGTCATGTAAGGTCTTAGAGACATTACAAAATAAGTCAATCAATGTGAAGAGTTTAGAACAGTGTGTGGCATAATTAAGTCGTTGATAAGCATTAGGTATCATTGTCATTTGTTGGCAAATGCAGTGATAAGAGTTTAATAGTGTTAGACCTTTCTCCTTATAATGAATAACAAGGGTGTCATTATCCCCATTCCGGGGCAGAGGAAAGGGTCGACACTGCCTGCTGTGGGTGGCATCTTTCTTTGAAATCTTGCACTGTAACTTAAGTAATCATGGAAATTTTGCGTTTTTCTCCATAAAGTTATCTTTATATAAAATAGTGTCTTCCTCAAAAAATCTTCACCAAAAATTGATGCTGTCAGTTTAGTAGGATGTACTATGTAATTGTGAGCACCCTTGATATCTTTAGTCGGAGATACTGGCATATCCTAACTTGTGAAACATTAAGCCATATTTTAAGCCCAGAGTAGGGGGAGAGGAGGAGAGGAGACTTGGTGCAGATGGCTGAAAGCTTTATTGGCTTTGAGCTTGGCCTCCATCCTGAATTCAGGGGCGCTGTCTGGTTTTACACTTGGGTATGACCTAGTCAAGTTTGTATTTTAGATTGATGACTCTGGCAGCTGGACGGCTATGATTTTGAGGAGCGTAAGTGGGCAACTCCATGGCAGCTAAAAACCAGTCTGGAAGTGGGGAGACTAATTTACTGGAGTCTGTCCAAAGGATAACCAGTGTAGTGAAAGTGTAGATAGTAAAAAAGTGACAAATTTAAGAATTGTATATGAGGCAAAATAGGCAGAACTTAGTGACTGTGGAGATGAAGAGTGGGAGGAGTGTCTAGAGTGGTTTCCACATTTCTACATTGGCTGAGATGTAGGCGGTGCTGAGGTAGTTAATAGAAGGTATTCACGTTGTATTTTATGTTCAATGAAATTTAATATAGTTTATCATATAGTCTTGTACCATCTCATTAAGTTTATTCCTGGATGATATATAATTTTTATTACTGTAAATGGGTTCTCTTTTTCTCTTACAAATTTTAATGTTGTTATTGATACTCTAAAAAAAGATGCTGATTTTTGATCTGTCTTTTATCTAACCTAATAAACTAAACTCTCATTAATTGTAATAGAGCTTTGCTTACTATCTAAGATTTCTAGCTATATATTATCTGCAAATAATAATTTCATCTCTCTTTCCATATCTGTTGTATTTACTGCAATAGTGTAATCTCTAAACTGTGGAATAATCATGGTGATATTGAACATGTTTGTATTATTGCTTAATGGGAATGGCTTCAGTATTTTAACATTTAGTATAATTTGTGCTAATGGCTTGTGATAAATATTCTTCATTATTTTTAAAAGACTGCTTTCTAGGCCTGCTTTATTTAAAGATTTGTCAAAAATGGAGGGAGGGCCAAGATGACGGAGTAGTCAGATGCTTCTGGTGGACCCTCTTATAACAAAGACCCAAAAAAACAAGTGATTCGATTATATATGGCAATCTGGGGACCCTGAACATCAAAGGCAGAGTTGAGGAACCAGACTGAGTGGCAGGGGAAGGGAGAGATGGTTTGGAAGCAACGAGGAGTTGCCAAACCTGACCTGGCTAGAGCCTGAGCCCTTCAGACCTGATCAGCTCTGGGATGAGCGGTGAGGCAGGCAAGCAGCTGTGCTTGGGAGCTGTGTTTTCCACACCGGGAGAGACCCAGCATCCAAGTGTCTACACGGCCACCCAGAATGAGTGAGAGGCAGCCCCCCATGAAAGATAAGTACTTGCATACGGCTTACCGTGTGGATCAAAAACACCCCCCTTAGGAAAAAACCTCTCTGCCATTTACCTCCCCGCTGCCTGCTCTGCACTGGGTCCTGGACCAGCTTCAGCAATTGCTGAGTCCCCTGGGCCGGAAGTAGGATCTGTCACACGCCCGGAGCCATTCTCCCTGCCTTGGAGAGTGAATAAATTAACAAAATGGGAAAAATAAACTGCCAGCTCCCCTAAGCCAGGAACTCAAGGTAGACACAGCTGTTTTGCCTAGGCACAGGCAAAAGGGATCCATGGATTTCGAGTGCCTTTCCCCCCGCATAGACTTGTGTGGGCCCATCTCAATGGCATAGGCCCTCATTACCACAGTACAACAGGGTATATACCAGAACTCAAACTTCAGCCATTTCAGCTGTGAAGTGGCAGGTTCTTGACATTTGACACTGCTCTGCCCATTAAGTAGGGTCTTCACCTACCCACATCAGGGGCCTGAGGACTGGTGGCTCCACCCACACCACCGAGCCACCTGTGAGAGGGGCCCATGAATAAGAGGTGCCCCCCACTCCTTACAGCCAACAGCATTAGGTGCTCATAGTCCAGCTGCAAAACCCACCCACCAACACACTCTAGGGAATAGGGACACGCCTTCCTCCTGGACACTCAGGGGCAGCCGTCAGCCCCCTGCCTTGCTCAGAGTGTGTCCCCCTGCTGCAGCCAGATGCCTGTGCCTATACCAATCACCCATGCCTGTCTAGGACTGTAAGTGAGAGCCTACATGGCACACTTGGTGGCTACATGGGCACCTAAGCTGAATCCATACAGGAGGAGTGGGTGGACTCCTGAGCTCACATACTCAGTAACAGATCTGACTAGCTGGTGACAGGACATTAGAGCTTCAAAGGTTCCAATAATCAGACTAGCTCATAAGAGCAGCCTAGTCAGGCATATCAAAACAAAACAAGA